ACGCCATTCCGAACAACTTGTCCGAAACGTACGTGATCACGGATGACCTGCTGTACGCAGTTGACACAATGCTGGTGGCTACGAAACAGGAAGCTCTTCAACAGCATCTGGACGCGCTGGTGGAAATCGCAGAGCCTTTTGGTCTCGAGCTAAACGTATCCAAAACTAGAGAGGGAGGTTGAAAAAAACAAGGAAATCTAAAAACAATGAATGTTAAAGTATAGGTTGTCGCGTAGAGATCGCAGCCCCGAAGCGAGGCAGAGAACATAACTAGGAAGTTTAAAAACAAGACCCGGACCCGCGACGCAGCATGAAACAAAACAAGGGACGCCCTGGAACAGCAAGGGGAAGATCTGGGGGAAGATCCGTCGGGAGATTTGGGGAGTGTCCAATGGAAAAATTGGCGCGGTTGCAAAGCGATAAATCTGGAGGAATATTTGGCGGAAGATCTGGGGGAGATCTGAGGGAACATCTCGGATATTATATTTGGCAGGAAGTCTGGAGGAAGATCTGGAGGGGCATCTGAGGGAAGATATGGTGGAAGATCTGGGCGAAAATCTGGAGGAATGTGCTGAGGGAGATTTGGCGGTGCAGTGCGTCGCAAATTTAGCAAGAGTTGCGGGAAGATCTCGGGAAGATCTGGAGCAAGATCTGAGGGAGAAGATATGGGGAAACATCTGAGAACAGATCTGGGTGAAGATCTGGAGGACGATCTGGAAGAAGATCTCGGGGAAGATCTGGGGGGGAGATCTCGGGGAAGATCTGGGGGAAGATCTGGGCGAAGACATCTAAGCGAAGATCAGAGGGAAGATCTGGGGAAAGATCTAGAGGGAGATCTGGGGGAAAGATCTGGGGGAAGATCTGGGGGAAGATCTGGAGGAAGATTTGGGGAAAGATCTGGGAGATCTGGGGGAAGATCTGGGGGGAGATTTGAGGGGAGATCTGGGCGAGGATCTGAGGGAAGATCTGGGTGAAGATCTAGGAGGGGATTTGGGCGAAGATCTGGCTGGAGATCCGGGGGGGGGGGTGGGGGAAAAGGAGGAGAAAATCTGAATAACGATCTGGAAGAAGACCTCAAGATCTGCGTGACGATCTGGGAGGAGATCTGGGTGAAGATCTGCGGGGAGATCAAGGGAAACATCTGGGAGAAGATTTGGGTGAAGATCTGGAGGACAATCCGGAGGAAAATCTGGGGGAAGACAACATCTCGCGCGATGACGGCAAGGCATGAAACAAAACAAGGAATCTTAAAACTATGATTTAGAGTAGGCCTGCGAGACTGAGCCCAGGCATGCCGTCCTAAGTGTTTTGAACTCCCTGTATTATTAAGAGTGCGATCGGATGCAAACGTTGCTGGGCCGGAAAGGGATCTGACTACATGCAAAGAAGAGGCTGTCTATCTGGGCGGGCTGCTGAGCGTCGACGGGAAGCCACGAGCAGAACTCACGCGCAGGCTTGGCGAAGCAAAAGGAGCATTCGACAGGATCAGAGCTGTGTGGAGCCACGCCAACATGACCAGACAGTACAAAATCCGTGTGTTGGATGCTTGTGCATTCTCGAAACTGCTATATGGATTGGAATATTGCATGCTGCTACAAGCCGACAGAGACCGCCTCGACAGCTTCCAAGCGAGATGCCTCCGAAGAATATGCAAATTCCACCCTGCCTATTTCTCCCGTGTCAGCAACGTCGAAGTCAGAGCAGTTGCAAACGCCACGCGCTCATCATCGCAGATAAGGCAAGGGATTCGCCGAGAAGCCTGCCGAGAGCAATGTTGTTCGAGAGTGGGAGCTGCCAGCCGAGAAGATGGAGCAGTTTACGCTCTCGTGGGCGCCCGCGTCTGCAATGGGCTACATATGTGCACGCCCGGGCCATAGAGGCAGCAGGGGGCGACAATGACAATTTGCACGACCTGCTGCAAGGCTCTCCAGCACAGTGGCACCAAGCCGTTGATGACTATTGTATGTAATCGTGTTCCCGCCTTCTCCCTGTTCCCTCCGCTCCCCTCCCCTCCCCGCTCCCTCCCCCCCTGTCCTCTCGCATGTTCAGTGTGCAATGTGCGAGTGTAGTGTACCCGCCGCCCAGCACTGGTCAATTAACAGTGGATGCAACCCCGCGCACGTGCATTCCGCATAATTTTCTGCACACGTGTCTGGCCTTCGTTTTCAATCCGATCTGTGCCGATGCGCCGTCTAGGCGCGGTTTCTTCCTGTCCTCCTGTCCTGGGTGCCGAATGCGAGCCGCCGAATTGGCGGAGGATCATCCTCCTCTTCCTCCTCATCTTCATATCTGTCCTTCTCCAATCCGAGTCCTGGCCCTCATTATCCTCGTGTTCTGCCTCATCCGCGTCCTCCTCTTCGTCCTCCGCCCCTCCTCGTCCGTCGCGTCTGTGTGTGAAGGCAAGCCCTCCTCCGTAGAATCGCAACACTGGTCTGAAGATCAAAGGCTGCGTGGATTGAATTCGCCCTGTATCCATACGGCTTATCATATTGATTCCACAGAAGGAGTGGATCCACGAGGCTTCCACGTCAACATACTGGATCCACACGACGGAGAAGATAGATCCACATAACTGTCGCCCACACGTAATGGGCATCCAATTGGATCGGTCTCTTTTATCTCAAAAGAAACAACTTTCGGCCAAGGTATGGACGCGGTGTAAGCATGTGGTGGAGGTTATATGGTGCAAGCTATGTGGTGCAAAAACACATTGCCTCACCCTCGCTAAAAAGTGGCCGGATGCAAGCCGGCATGGGCCCGTAGACCAGTGCTAGGAGAAAACTCTCCCGAGGCTGTAGCACGGTCAACTCGGTGCAGCACCAAGGAGAACCATTGCAAGCACTGGCTGTCCAGGGTATTGCCGAAAGCCCATTGCATCCATCGCTTGTGGCAGGTAGGTAAGAACGCCTGATATGTTGAAAGAAGCCAGGCTGTCTTCCAACCTATGTTGCAAATAAACTTACACAAGCCCCTTTAAAAAGATGGCGCCCGCACGAGGAAACTCAGGGAGCCCTGAACCTTGCGGCGTTCAAGACGGCGCAGAAGGCCGCGAAGGCTGGGTCAAGGCGGCCACACACAAGAAGGGTCAAGAGAGCTCCATGACAGTCCTGAAAGGCCACAAGAGGTCCCCAGAGGCTCCCAAGACGGCCTCCGAAAGCGCCACACGGCCCAAGAGCACGATAGGACGACCCAAGAAAGCTCCGCTGTTGCCCGACACAGCCCCAGCCCAAGAAGCCCTCAAAAACCAAAAAAGAACCCCGAGACAGCCCCAAGCCGGCCCGGCCCCTCCCCAGAGTTCCCCCTGTGGTTCCCAGACAGCTTGGGCAACATGCGGTCTGACTGACTGACTGACGCGCGTGTCGGCCGGAAGCCGTCCCGAACCAGGGCGCGCGCCAGAGCCTCGGCTCTATTCGGGGGCGCGCATCCATGGGTCGGGGGACGTGCCCTCCCCAAAATGCGACCGGTGCCGCCTCGCTCGGCGGCGGAGATCCGCGATGTCCCAGGGAAAGAGGACCCGTCGCTAATCCACGCCCCCTTGATCCATGTTTGCGATCGCCTGATCTATCCACTGCGGCACCGTGAAGACCAGCTACTTTTCACAAAAAATACAACTATGTAGCTCATCCATTATTAATCCTTGATCCTAGAATCGAACCAGGTCCCAGCGGTCTACAGCCACTTGTTCTACCGTTAAACGAATCAAGGTTCTAAACAAACTATTTCTAAACTATATTTGTATACCTACGTGAAAACGGTGCTGTATCTGCAACGTGTGGCGTCTCCTCGCAGCGCTTCACTGCACTGTGTAAAGGATGCCGCAGCACCAGCCCGTCTCGATCTGGGTCGCTCTGCTCGCCACGCCCTTCCAGCGGGCTCCCCTACCGATGCACGGCGCATCCAGGAGTAAGTCGGGCAGGTCCCCCCTACAGGCAGATGTCCGATGAAGCACAGAAGTACTTTCAAAAATAACCTCCCCACTATTTTGCGTTTTTTCGACTCTTTCCCCTGTAGAGGGACATGCCCGACGTAAGTCCAGGAGTCCTTTTCATGCTGTAGATGTTGGAACCGCTTTGATGCTGTGGTAGCATGCGGTCCACTAGCATTACCGTGCTGACGCCAGACACTCGCACCATACCTGAGTGGCGGCGACTCGGAGGCGTCTTCGACACAGCTCATGCCCACCCTTCGAGAAGCTTCCCGAGGTGCGAAGGATGAGGTTGTGCTACAGGACTGTGTTGCTAAGCCCATATCCGTCGCGCTAGAAAGCGATCCGCACTCGAGGGTTCGATTGCGCCCTGACACCACCGTGGATCATCTCATCCTCCTCCCCTCCCCTCCCTCCCCTCCCTCCCCTCCCTCCTCTCCCTCCTCTCCCTCCTCTCCCTTCTCCTTCTCCACCCCTCCTCTCCCTCCTCCCCTCATCTCCCTTCTTCTCATTCTCCTCATCCTCCTCTCCTCCTCCGCAGGAGAAAACCCCCTGGCCAGGTGGAGGCCCCGATGCTCCCCCTGCGCATGTCAACATCAATTCCGCTCCCCCCCTCTTCCCCAAGCTCCCCCATCTACAACCAAAAAAGAGGAAAAATGCGTAAGCATAAACTGTTGGTGCTCCGCGCGGATTTCTTGGATCTGCGCTGGACCCCCCTCAATGTCGCGCAGGGCGCGCCAGGGGCGGTGCTGGAGGCGCCGCCGGGGGAGGCCCAGCACGAATCCAAGAAATCCGCGCGGAGCGCCAAAAGCTTATGCTTGTGGCGCTATCTCTTCTTCGACTGCTGCCGCCCCTCCTCCTGCGGGACAAAATCCAGGCAGGTCGTGGTGAGACCAAGAGGTACCGATACCGCTACTCCCCGGACCTCTCTTGGGGTACGTTCTGACCAGGAGTTCGAGGCGAATCCAACGGTGGCGACGAGGGCCTCACGACGAAGGCCCAGGAGGCCCAGAAAGAGGAAAACGGCCAAAGGGTAAAGCCATGGGTACCTTGTGTCTCCTCTGAGGTAGTGGTCCTGCTCACGCACATGGAGAAGATGCTGACGTTCAGGTTCCTCAGGAGCGTCGGCCTGGGTCGGCGACTCCGAAAAGTGTGGTTTGCAAAGGGTGTGGTTTGCAACCGGCACCCTGGGGGTCACCCTGGGGGCGGCCGAGGACCTCGACGGAGCTCTCCGCCGCGCCCCGAAGAGGCCCGACGAGGACAGCGTCGTGCTCCCCGAGCCCCAGTGGTGCCGCTCGCAGCCCTTACCCCCCGCGCAACCATGCCGGCTGTGGCCGCCGACCGGGGCGGGGCTCGGCGGCACAGCTCGGCGGTCCCGTGCTGCACTCCTCAGCACGTGCGCGGCCGCGCGGCGCGCACGGAGCCCGCGACGGGAGGACAGGCCGCCGGCGCGCGGGGGAGACTGCCCAAGATGATTAGGCCTAGGTCGGGCGTGTCCCCCTGCAGGCGGATCTTGGACGAAGGATAAAAAAAAACTTGTGAAACAAAAAACATAAGCAGTCAAACAAATCATCCCCAGACTATGTTTTGACTATGCTTGTTTTTGTTCCTCTTGTAGAGGGACACGCCTGACTTAAGATTTGGTATCAAAGGACCCCTAACCCTTTGGGAGGCGACCTCATCTAGGAGGGCCAGAAACATCAGGGATAGGGGGTCGTTTCTACAGATGTGCAGAACCAAACCGCCCAGATGTATTATCCATAATGCAAGGGCGGGGCACTCAGTGAGGCCACGTCTTCAATATGTTATGTTCAGGGGCTCTTTGATCCTCGATGACGAGAGACACGGCTTGTCGGGCCGAGCCGCCAGTATTCTGTCGAGGTGGCGTGCCGAGAAGCCGTTCGCATACAGTCGGACCTACTACCTTCGTCAGAATGTACCTCAAACATGTAGTGCATATCCAACTTGAGCTTGCGTGTGTGTGTGTTTCTGGAGTGGCTGGCGATGAACGCGCCGTACTTCTTAATGCGCCCCCTTCAATGTCGGTCATCATCAAACTTTCGACTTGACCATGCTGAACGATCAAATGCCACCTGGCCACAACGTTTCCGGGTGCGCCGACATTGAAGGGGCGCCCCGATATTGAGGGTGCGTGGCCAACACTTTTGAGGCTCATGTTGTCGAGGGTTGTAGGACACAAGAACATCCTTCAAAAGCATGAGACCCTCCGCCCGCCAAACGGAAGTACATTCGAGGGTCCCCAGGATGCACCAGAACATCCAGCAAGCACGAAGAATTTGATGAGGGTACCCTCCCCGAACCGACCTCGATCTTACACCTCGGTCCGACTGCGTAAAATGCAGGCCGTCGTCACCAAAAGCGACAACCGCCCCCGCGCTGTACCAGTGACCCCTCCTCGTCGGCGAGGCGAGGCGAAATGTTTCTTCGCCCACCACCGTGACGCGAGGCACTGAGTGGCGTGTCCTCATGGAAAACTGGAATATGAAGAGCTCGTCAAGGGGCCCGCAGCCACGAGTTACAGGCGCTCTTGGGCGCTCCTGGGCGATTCTTGGGCTTGGCACGCGTTGTCGCGTAACCGGGAGGGCTCCACGACGGGCCAGAAAGGCCCTGAGAGGCGGGCCCCGAGTGGCCGACAGATCGCTCCAAGACGCTCAAGATGGCCTCCTGACGGCCCAAGGAGGCCCCCGAGACACCCCTAGAGGGCTCCAAGAGGCCCCAGAGAGGGCCCCAGAGGCTAAGATCATGTCCCCAATGTCGCACGTGGCAACGCCCACATTCTGTGGGGACGACGGGGTGCCGCAACGCGTGCCCTCTGCGCGCCAACATCGAGGCCGATACCCGAAATAGACGAGACGATCTGCCCAACTGCTCCAACCGATCGAGTAGACGGATCAAGACTAGCGCCGCTGCTGCAGGAATGCTAGACGCGGTGCCCCTTCCCACTCAACATTCACCTCCCCACCTCCTCCACGAAGCCCCCCCCCTTCTCTCCCACCTCCTCCTCCACCTCCTCCTCCACATCTCCGTCTGTCTCTGCGCTCACCCAGCCCCATCTACGCGTTTCCTTGTGGTTATAGCCGCCGCCGTCGTCCTCGCAATCATCGTTTGCACCGTGTCAGTAGCAAGTGTCCCTGCGGAGGTCCCTAGACCCAAGACGCCGCAAATCCAGCAGAGCATTATAGACCTCCACGAGGCCATCGAAAATTCTCACTTCCTACACAATTCCTTTAACTCCACCAATTCATCTGGATCGCGGGTCCGGATTCTTAGTGCCAGAAACATCACCAGCAGCAATGCGGCAAACTCTCTCGAGCTCACCCAGCTCTTGGACCCAAAATTCTCAGGTCAGGAGGTGGCATCATCGGAAGCACAGTGACCGCAGGAGTAGCCGGCCTCTGGGTCACTTCCATGGCGACCTCCAACCGGTCGACGGCCTGGGCAAGCAAATTCTCGTCGACCTCGCGGCCCCGCACCACTCCCCACGCGGCCGCGGAAAAAAGAGAACAAAAACACGGGAGGATGCGGTTCGAGCCAATGGAACCCTGCCGAGAAAGAGACTGACCCGATCGCACCAGGACAGTCTGAGAGGGAGAGCATCCCTCCTGCCATCTGACGAGGACGAGGACGAGCATGAGGATGATGACCAAGACGAGGCGTAGAAGAGAGTAGAGAAGAAGACTGTGGGGAGGGGGAAGGGTCCCTGGTCTGTGATGCGAGAGCCTGCAGGACAGAGATGGAGAGCCGTCCAAGAACCCTGAGCGCTTGATCCTCCTTTTCTTCCTCCTTGAAAGATGCGTGCCTACGTGCTCCGGGAGAGAGAGAGAGAGAGAGACAAAAAAATATTCAAAAAACATTAGATACGCACAGATATCTAGACACACAAACAAGCAAACAATATCTACATATACAGACAGGCAGACGTCAGGCAGACAGGGAGGCAGGCACACAGACAGGCCGACTGCCAGGCAGACAAAGGGCAATCCACGTGCATTATCACACGCACCTCGCCGACGGAACAGAGCCCAGAGTGAATGCGTCCCGTCCCGTCTGCGCTGGTCCTGGCCGTTTCGCTCGGGACAGCCTACGAATCCTGAGAACCGGACGCACACGTCACACAGATCGAACAGCCAGATCCGAAGCACACAGAGGATGTTCAACATGTTAGCATAAACCTGTCAGGCACGACATGTTTCAACGATGATGCGCATAACGAGTATAACACCTTTGGTTGTTGTTCAATGGTTTCCTCCCTGTCTGCAACACTGTATAAGAAGGCTTCCAACAAACACACACGCACGCACGCACGCACGCACACACACACACACACACACACATCGGCACTCTATGACTTTTCCTGCGATCAGCATCCCAGAAAAGTATTCCAACTTCACCTGAACTCCTGCTGTTTCATGCACACTTGGGTGCTTCTCAACTTTGTGATTGATCGCAAGCCGTAACCAACCACTCGGTGGCCCCAAGTTGCTGTTTGTATTAGCCTGGGCACTCGACGTGCCACATGCATGTATACACATGACATCATGCGCACCTCTCCGAGGAAGCTGAGCTCAAAGGCGACGAATGCGTCCACAGTGATTATGGCCGTTCACTCGGGACATCCTTGAACATCTGAAAATCTGGCGCGCCTCTCACGCAGGTCGCAACGCCAGGGTCAACAGGCACAGAGAGGAGATGTAACAGTTTAGCCTAAAATCTGGTAAACGAGCACAAGGGGTGGCAATTCGTGTACAGATGTCAAGAAATATGATGTGTTCTATAGTTCCCCGTGTAGCTCAGCGTGATGAACTAAAGCATTCAACTGCAGAACAAGCTCGCCTAAAACGTTAGAAATGTTGCTCCGACTTTGGTTCCCACTGTAGATCTCCAACTTTAACATAACTGCTGCCTTTCCATGCCGACAGGAGTATTTCTCAATATGCCGTCTAATCGCAAGCTGTGGCAACCCCATCGGTGAGCCCCAAGTGCTGTTTGTATTAGCTTTGGGAACCACGTGTCACCTGTGCATGTATACTTACAAAACAACGTTAGCCATCGTGCACCCCAAACAGTGTGTCTAGTCATATATGTTGTGCAGTCGGTGCAGAGCACTCTACGTGATGCAACCTATGATGCGTATGATGTGCCATATGTGGTGTGCAATGCAATGGTGCGACCTACGAATACAAGACATGTTGTGCAATATATGTGGACCAAGTGATGTGGTGCAACCTATGTGGTGCAATCGATGGTGTGCAAGATATGGTGCACAACCCGTGGTGTGTACTCTATGTGGTGCGATCATCGTGGTGCCACCGAACCAATCCATGTTTAGTAAACCATGTTGTGTGATCTACGTTGTGCAATAGATATGGTGTGCAACCTGTGTGGTGCAGTGTTGGTTGCTACGGATATGTATATATACACACATACATACATACATATATACGCGGCGCAACCTATAACACTTAATCTAACTGGAGCAATGGACGCGGTACAAAGTTGTGCAATCAATGTTGTGCCATACACGTAGTGCGGCCTACGAGGTCCACTAGATGTTGAGCAATATATATATATATATATATATATGTGGGGCATTCTACGTGGTACAACCTATGCGGTGCCATTGACCACCCTGTACCGCGCGTGACCACCTCCCATGCTCGTGCAGCCACCCCACCCCACTCCCCACGCGCAGGTTGGTTTCCAAAACCCTTGCGACGGCAATTGCGATGACTGATTGGCGCTGGCTGGCGCATCGCTAAGGCCGCGCTGGCGCGCGCAGGCTCGCGCGCAGAGCGGCCAACTAATCTGGCGCGACCAACGCGACTGCGGGGGCGTTGACCGCTGGGCACTTCCCAACGCGTCTCGCAGGCCGCCGCGCTAACGCGTGGTCACTTCAGTGCGGGTCGGTGACTCGGGCAGGCGCGGTATCGTGGCGATTTCGACAACGGCAGACACGACGATGATAGTAGCGATGCTGGTGACGATGATGACAGTGACGACGGCAAGTCCAATGACGGCGACGATACTGATCACGCTGATGACTATGATGGTGTCCTCGCGTCGGTGATGAAAGTTTTTCGAGAGATTTCGACAGGCGCGCGCGGCCGACGCGCGCGACTGGTCCGCATGGTATTATTTTGACAGGGATCATGCCCCCCAGCACGCGCCCAAGGGCGTTCGAATGAATTCGACATGTGCGAGCGAGAAGCCCGTTTGGCCGCATTCGATGAAAACGAAATCAGTTGTCGTATGAAACCGCGAGAGCGTGCGCGCAGACTTGTTTGACAACTCATGCTGCAAAATTAATGGTTTCTATATATATATATATACACGTATATTGAATCACTCGAAATGCAATCCATACGACACCTACAGCTTTTGAAAGATTCCGGTATGAGCGCGCGACGACGCGCGCTTCTGGACTTCGTCCCATCCGTTGCAAAGATTCCTGCAACTTGGTAATGTTTGATAGACGGGTGGGCGCATAGCATTTATTGCAAGGGACGACGGGGCCAGTCGACACCGGCCTGGCTGGAATGGTATGACTTCACACGGAAAGTGAAAATGAACGTGGAGGCAAAATCAAATGTAAACTGCAACAAAGAAAATGCAAGCGGATAATGCTGGGGGCGCAGGATCTCATTGATTTTGTGAAGAAGAGAGCTCTATGTTGTGCGGCATACGGTACGCCATCTATGGTGTGCAATATGTGGTGCAATGTATGTGGTGCAACCTATGTGATGCAATCAATGTGGCACAATATATGGTGTGTGTGCACTCAATGTGGTGCGAAGTCTAAGTGGTGCAAAGTTTGTTGACATCTATATTGTGCAGCATACGTTGTGCAATATATGTGGTGCAATCTTTGTGGGGCGGCGACGACGGCCACATTAGCCGCCAGATCAAAGACACGATCCAGACGACGGGCGCCGACGAGGCGGCGACGGGGCGGCGACGGCGGCCAGATTAGCCGCCAGACCGAAGGCACCGCCCAGACTACGGGCGGCGACGGGGCGGCGACGGGGCGGCGACGGCGGCCACATACCCGCCTGACGGAAGACACGGCCCAGTTCCTTAGAACAGCAGTGAGAACCTCTCACTGCAAGCATCGCTTGGGGAACATTTGTAACTCTACAGATGTGTATGTTCGAAATTAACATGTACATATATACGATACCGGAGAAAAACCCAATCAAAGTCTGTTTAGGACTATCGAGCTATGGGGCTATGAGGCTATAAGGCGATGAGGCTATGCACTTATGAAACTATAGGGCTCTAGGGCCATAGGGCTATAGGTCTATAAAATTATAGGGCTATAGGGCTATCGGGCCATAGGGCTATAGGGCTGCAGGGATATAGGATTATGGGGCTATGGGGCTCTGGGACCATGTGGCTATAGGGCCATAGGGCTATGAGTCTGTAGGGCTATGGGGATGTGGGGCTATAGGACCACACGGCTAGAGGGCTATAGGGACATAGGGCCATGGGGCTGTAGGGCTATAGGACTATAGGACTATAGGGCTACAGGGCTACAGGATTATAAGGCTATAACGTTATAGGACTATAGGAATATAGGGCTATAGGGCTATAAGACTATAGGACTATAGGGCTATAGGGCTATAGGGCTACGGGGCTATAGGGCTGTAGGGCTATAGGGCTTTAGGGCTATAGGGCTACAGGGCTACAGGGCTATAGAGCTAGAGGGCTCTAGGGCTATAGGGCTATAGGGCTATAATGCTACAAGGCTATAGGGCTATTGGGCTATTAGGCAAAAAAATTATAGGGCTATAGGGCTATAATGCCATAGGGCTTTAAGGCACCTGGGCACCCGGGCAACTGGGCACCCGGGCACCCGGGCACCCGGACACCAGGGCACCCGGGCGGGCCGCGGAAATCGGTGACAAACCTTACCTAACCATATGAATCCTCTAGGACCCCTACAGAAGCAAGCTCTGATTGGGGAATATACGTACTAGAACCATCGCGCGCGCTTCGCGCGCGCTCGCTAAAGTTCTAGACGATGTATGAAGTATCGGCGGAGCCTGCGGCAGTAACACGCCCTCGGCCGAACGATCTTGCGCGACTACAGGGTAGCCTTGGAAGCTTCGTGAGCTGTCTTGGGACTTCGTTGAACTGTCCTCGGGCCATCGGGGGAATCCATTGGGAATCATTTGGCGAGTTGGGGGGCATCTGAGTCAATCTTGGGCGGATGGCGATTCAGGGAGGCAAGAGCAATCGTGCGTGGCAAAACTACACTGCGTAATCCGGGAACCGCGGAGGCGACGGCGTCGAGGGAGAGGAAGGGGGAGAAGAAGGAGAGAGATGTGGAACGGATGAAGGAGGAGGACCAAGAAAAGGAGAGAGAGAGAGGAAAAGGAGACCGGAGAGCGTGGGATGGGTGAGCTGGAAACGAACTCTTTGGCACGCCAGCGCCAGGCACAGGCATGAATGGAGGGGG